TTCGAATCCTCCCAGCGGCCGCATTTCCTTTAATAAGCTTTCTTGAATGTGCAAGTCAGTAGATGAAATAAAATACCGTTTAAAATAACGTCTAAAAATAACGTCTATATATATATATATATATATATATATATATATATATATATATATATATATATATATATATTGTTGCGGTCGTTAGTAACGTCGGTGTTTGATTTGAGAAATAACACGTGTCTCGTGAAATTACCACAACAAAAATGGCGGCTATGGTATGTGAGTCCACGTGAATAAATACGAGAAAACAAGGACTAATACATGTACAAACAAATGATTATGTATTTACTAGAAAGGCATACGAGTGATATATATATATATATATATATATATATATATATATATATATATATATATATATATATATATATAATGTATATGTTCTATTGCACTGAAAATAATACCGTTTTCTAACATTGATATTTATACCCAAAACAAGAAGGAGTTTACTGTAAATATCACATGTCGATTTATAGAATCGTTTTTCAGTTACAAGTTGGCGTAATTTCTATTTTATATTTTTAATAAAATATCTACAAATCGCAGGTCGTATCCATCCTCATCTACGCGTGTGTGACTGTTGCCACTCTTGGTTGAGTCAGAAAAAAGTATCCAGGCTTTCGAGAACGAATCTTTGAGAAAGCTCCCCTGCATCTCCTCCTGGGAGCACAAGACCAATGATTATGTTTGGAGCAAGGTCAAAAGTCTCATGGGCCGACGGGAATCTCTTCTCGCCACTATTAAACGTCGGACGATGTCATGGTTTGGCCACGCCACATAACATAACAGCCTCTGTAAGAGCATCATGCAAGGCACTGTTGAGAGCGGGCTCATGCAGAGAAGAGCTGATCAAAGCGTGAACAGATATGACAGTCGTAACTCCTGAAAACCACTGCCATCATCCAGGAGGTCGTTATCTGTTTCTTCTGGTCTTAGGTCCCGCCAGGAGGATTGAAGCATAAGACTGATGATAATGTTGATATTTTTAAAGATTAACTTTTTAACTAAATGAACATAGATACAGCATTTTGCAATGGCTTTCTCTTAATCAGTTAAAGGTTGTACGAAAATATGCAGGTTCGGCTCAAGATATCGACCGAGGATTCGTACCGTTTTGCTTCCTTAGATTTCAGCATGAAAATGATGTTCTTGAACGCGCAGGATGGAACTGCTTCTTCGACAAAGGAACATAATTGCTTCTTTTTATCGACTCTAGAAGAAATGATGTCTATACTGCAGATCTAAACGGCAACCTGAGCGGCATAAGAACAGTCATTCAACAAATCCCAACTTTGGTTACGCATGACTTATGTCACTAGTTTTTGTTTTTTTTACCTCGTTTATTTCGTTTAATCCTCTGGTGAAAATGCTGTGACTCTCTAGGTATCTATATATATATATATATATATATATATATATATATATATATATATATATATATACGCAGACACACACAAAAGACATTCAATAAATTAAGAAGAGTTGTTCTCATGACTTATCTGGTAGAATCACGGAAGAGTCTTGCATCAAAATTTTAATCAGAGCCAGATATTTGGTAAATCTATTAAACATATTACATCCCATATTTATCCTATTTCTGAGCGATGGAACACTAATTCTAACTTTCAAATTTCAAAATGAAATGTTCGCAATTTTCACGTATTTTCTCCGTTTTATTATATATATATATATATATATATATATATATATATATATATATATATATATATGTGTGTGTGTGTGTGTGTGTGTGTGTGTGTGTGTGTGTGTGTATTGATGTAATAGAAAAGAACAGTTAGATTAATGATCCAAAGTTCTTTAGTATTTTGGTTTTTATTTTAAGAAAACAGTGCTCGATACAGAAGTAGAGCATAAATTATGATTTCTTCTAAACATCGCTTGAGAAACAAACTGCACTCTAAATTTTAAGTTTAATATTGAAATTAGGACAAGTTTCGAAACATAGTAACTTCTGTGTCGCGATGGAACATATATATATATATATATATATATATATATATATATATATATATATATATATGTATGTATGTATGTATGTATGTAAGTTCCTCCACTGATTCGCTAAAAAATGAGCATACCAGGACACAAGTTCCAAACTTAATAAAAACAAAATTTGTTATTAAGAAGAAAGACGAAAGGATTTTTTATTATTAAATTATATTTTTGTTTTTCTGTTTTAGAAAGTTCGAAATTTTAGTTAAAAATATTGTTTTTCTTACGTCAGCGGATGGCCATATATTAATATAGGAAATTTTAGTGTCTTTTTTGCGGTGAAAAAATATATGGATTTGGAAATTCATGCAATTGTCTGATTTTAATGAAACTTTCAGAACCTATTCACAAATGAATGAAAGTATTTAAATTTCTGAAATTTCGAGAAATTAATTTTTTTACCGCTTGATATTTCTATTAGTTATACACGGAATTCCTTGAAGAATTGAAATCATAAATTCTTTTTGCGAAACAGGGCCACCAGTTACCGAAAATCTGCCCGGAATCGTAAAACAAAAAATGTAATAAAATTAAGACATGGATTAATTAATTGGAAAAGCTTTCAATTGATCTTATATTATGGACATTATTTTCTTAAGATAAAAATTAAGTAATTTTTACAACAACTGTTTTCATTCTTTACAATTTTAAATAAAATAATTTATAAAGTTCAAAATGTATTAATTTATAGTGGTTAAATGATAGTATTATTAAGAAAAAACTATATTTACTACTCATAATAAACGGGAAAGCTTACTACAATTCGGCAACCTCAGTATTGTAAAAAGTTTTTTTTATGTATAAATGTCCCAAGAACGATAATTAGAGTAAATTTAAAACCAAAGTACCTCAAATCCATGAATTCATTAGATTACGGAGAATATTTTCATAATTTTTTAAGATAATTAGGTAGCTAAAAATTATAGAAAAAGGGCGCTCACTTTATATTCCTCAAGTAATTTTACAGATATATCCACCGTAGAAAAAATTAGATAAATTTCCGGCTGCCAGTCAAGCTGGCAACCTGTAAGCACTTTAAATAAACACATACCTCCGTGTTAAAAAATGCATTTCTGCGATATTTTAAACTAAAAGTAATATTTGTTTCAAATCAGAATAATTAAACGTTAAATAAACTAATATTCCACAAATGAAATTTCAAAAGGGTATATTTTATTTTTTAATGTTTTTTTTTAATAGAGAAAATTACATTTTGATGAAAGATGGCTAAAAATAGCGCTAAAATCAGCGATTTCGAATTAGAAACTCCTTCCAGTCAATTTAAATTAGTTTTGAAATGCGGCATAGTATTTTGTTTACTAGAAATATTGAATTTAATCTGTTAGCTTGAAATTAAAACTAAAAAACTTTAAGAGAAATTATTCGTTTTTTTTTAAAATAATTTTAAACCTTAAGTATCGCGTTTCTTTCTTACCTACTTTTAGTGCTCGCAAGACATAAAAAACAAAATAACTTTTAGGTTAGCAAGTTGATCGCGGAAAAGCATTACTAACATGCTCTGGGTGCTAATCTTTACTCGGTGGCGAAGTTAAGCTTAGCAAATAAATAATTTCATAATGTTAATGATGATATTAATCGTACCCTTATAAGGAAACGTTCGGAATTCACTGACCGAACGCTTAGTGCTTGCTTTCAGTTGGAATTTACAAAACGTTTCTCTTAAAACAATATTTCAGGAACATTCGTGTCTTAAGTCTAGTATCTGTTATTGCTCTTTCCAGTAATGACTGGGGCTTCATTGATTGCATTTTTGTTTTATGTATATCAGAATTTTGATTATGCTATTGTCTTTTTTTTTTTTTTTTTTTTTTTGGATTACATGTGGTATTCATTTTAGCTATTGCTGCTGTTAAAAGTCATCAAGTGATGTGGTTTCTGCTTTGGGATTTTGTAACGCTCGTCGCCGAGAAAAGATGGTTGTCGTTGCCACCTAAAGTTTTCACACTCTCGAAGCCATTTTTAGCCATCGATCATATATAAAAAGGGCGCTCACTTTATATTCCTCAAGTAATTTTACAGATATGAATTCCCTTAAATCGGAATGTTAGATATTTTTCAACGAATCTGGCGGCATTTATGGTATTTGTATGAAAGACTCGATCTGACGAGACTGTTTAAGAATATAACTAGAGTTTAAGTTAATGTTTTCAGTTTTTTATATATATATGTGTGTGTGTGTGTGTGTGTGTGTGTGTGTGTGTGTGTGTGTGTGTGTGTGCGTGCGTGCGTGTATGTGTGTGTGTGTGTATATGTAGCAAAAAATGTAAGTACCTGACTCCTCAAGCTTCTACATTTATAAGAGTCAGATCAGGCCGAAAATTGCTGCCATATTTGGCCATGGCTACCCAGTCCTCACTTTCCAGTCTTGATAGAATTCAAAAGCGAGCTCCGAGCTCTCGTTGCAGAAGAATTATTTTCCACCCTCCTACTATTTCTGAATAAATTGCTCGGATTATAACTTTTTGTCTATATAATCTTTTAGATTATAGAATTAGTAACCTTAAGTAAGAAAAAAAATTATAATGTATCCATGACAAACAGTCTCTTATAAAAAAATTTCAAGTGGTCTTAAATTTTTGATCAGAAGTGTATGTGTGTGTGTATCTTTGTGTGTGTATGTGTGCGTGTGTCTGTGTGTCTGTGTAGAAAAATCACTGACAAGGTGGAAAATGTTTTCGTGTGATACGTTTTGTTCTTTAGGATATCATCGGATGATAATATTTACGTAAATGATGTTTACGTTGAGATAACTAGAGTCTTGAAGCCATTTTTAATCATCGATCAGAAAAAGCTCTTGTTAGCTACTTTTTTAGGTTAATGTTTCAGTTTTTTAGTAACTTACAGTGTTTTGTGAGACTATCCCTGGCGCGTTCAATATTCTTATCTCCTATACAAATGTTTCAAGAAATTCAAAGAAACCTGTTACTTACCACCGAGGTTCAAATTGATGTTAGCTGATACCTCTCCCAATTTGTTCTTCGCTACCACTTTGTATGTCCCTGCGTCGTCTTTTGCCACCCCAATAAGTTCCATTACAATGTTGTATGCGATTCCTCCTTTGGCTTCTACTTTCATTTTGTGTTTGTCTGAGGCTTTCAATTCTGTATTTCCAAGGAACCACGTTATTTCTGGTTGTGGGGAGGCTTCCAAGGCGCACAAAAATACCAGTCGTTTGCCTCCATCCTCCTGTTTTAGGGAGGGCTTTGTCGTAAAGCGGGGTGCTACTTCGTCTCCGACCCCCATGGCGATAACTTTCGTGGATCACTAGCCGCTAGAATCTGTAAAAGAAAAAAATATAAAGGTTATATATATTTATATATCTATACATAAATTATAATATATATATATATATATATATATATATATATATATATATATATATATATATATATATATATATATATATATTTTGAACAATAAAACAATATTAAAAAATTAAAATCTTTAGACACACTGGGTTGTAGACACACTAAATATTCTTTCGTTTTTTTATTATTATTTCATTTAGATTCCTCGACTAGTTTCGACCAAAATGGCCATCATCGGAAGGAGAAATATTTCTGCTTACTGGAAGCAGTAAACTACATATATATATATATATATATATATATATATATATATATATATATATATATATATATATATATATATATATATATAGTTTATGAAAAACTAAGTAATCCGTATGGGTAAACCTAAGGAGGGTAAAATCCAGAGAGCTCAATGTAAATCCAGAGCAAATAATTTAAATAAAAACAGACCACTTTAATGTTCCATGTAATAAATTATTTCACCACAGCCCTTTTAAAAGGACTGCGGATCATCAGACTTTACTTCCAAACAAAATATATATATATATATATATATATATATATATATATATATATATATATATATATATTTGTATATTTATATTTTATTGCGTATATAATATTTCATTTTCTTTGTATATTTTATTTTAAATAAATTTTAAAATGTCTTTTTCATACACATAAGAATATTTTTTATTTGCCCATTAACCGGATTTTTTTCATTTTAAAAATTATTTCAAAATGGGTGGCTATTTCATATGAGCGCCTACGAGATTGTTCTTTTCATGTTTTTCGAAAGAAACGAGGCAGCGAGCGCACAGTTCGAAATAATTTAGTAAACAAAAATGTATCATGGACAATTATGTTAATAGCCAAACTGAGATAGATAGATAGATAGATAGATAGATAGATAGATCCAAATCATATATATATAAATATATATATATATATATAGATAGATAGATAGATAGATAGATAGATAGATAGATAGATAGATAGATAGATATGGCCCCAATGAGATAGATAATGAACAGATTGAAATAGAGATATGAACATAGATAGATAGATAGATAGATAGATAGATCCAAATCATATATATATATAGAGAGAGAGAGTGAGAGAGAGAGAAAGAGAGAGACAGAGAGAGAAAGAAAGAAAGAGATAAATAGATCCAAATATGATCCAAATCAGATATAATATATATATGAATAGAGACAGAGAGAGAGAGAGAGAGAGAGAGAGAGAGAGAGAGATAGATAGATAGATAGATAGATAGATAGATAGATAGATAGATAGATTATCCAAATAAGAGATATTTACAGACTGAAATAGATAGAAATATGATCAGAAATAGTTATATAGATATAGACAGATAGAACATTAGCAGATTCAAATCGATAGAGAAATAAATATGAATGGCTAGAAATGGATAATGAACAGAGATAAGTTTCTTCCAACTATATTTAACTGTTCTGCATTTTCAAAGTCGAAATTCATATCCTGAATACACAAAACGTAAATTATTACAACTAATTTCGTCGAATTACACACACACGCGAGGTACACGCATGCGCGTACACACACACACACACAAAGCCTTTACTCTTGTATACATAAGTTTCTATGCACTGTGTATACAGAAACTCGAGAACATGTGCAGCTGATAAATCCAGTCATTATTCTTATGACATTAATAATTGGAGCTTCACTGCCGCGAAAACCATTTGAATTGATTTATTTTGAACTACCAAACATCTATTCCTATTTTCCTTGTTGCATCAAACTAAATTAATGTTTACGGTTTCATAACAATCACAATCTTTGCTCCTGTTTTGCACTTGGACAGAAACTCATACCGAAGCACAACTGAATATAGTGGAACAAGACCTGCATCTGGATAAGACCAACGCAAAACTGGATTTAGAACAAATGAGGCCCTGTTCTAGTCAAGTTATGAGGCTCCTTACTTGGGGTCTGATGGAGGTAGGCTCAACATGCCTATATAGGCATGGAAGGAAGGTGGGGTTCCACCTGTCCAACGGGGCCCTGTGCTTAAGCACACCTAAGCCTAATGGCCCTGATGATACTGAATGTTGAACAATTTTATCACAGATGAAGACATGAGTTTAGGTGTCGTGGTTCCAGAAACGCTGAGAATACCATAGACATGTATTAAAACACGTCCCAGACATTTCTGTAGTTGCTAGATTCTGATATCTCCAGTCTGTCATTTGCATCCTGGGTGCTTCATCTGGCTGAAAATCATACAATCTGCCATGTTGCAGTTAGCAATTAGACCTTACTTTCAGTTTTCCTATACTATCTTCTCTCAGGGTACCTGCAGTTATGCACGTTTAAAAGGAACACACCTAAGCACAATGCTAAATCCGGCACTGGACCAACGCTTCTCCTTACTACAAACATACACACAAACGTTTATTTATTTATTTTATCTAACTTCCCACACACTTAAAACCAGGTGTACGTTCCTATCATCCGAGAGCAAATATTCGCCCATATATCATTTCATGCCATAGGGTAATTTTACTTGTCTAGCTAATTTCTTAGGTCGGGAATGTATCTTATTTTTATTTATTTATTTATTTATTTATTTTATTTAATATTTTTATTCCGTCATATACGGTTTTCTTGTGAGATATTTCAACATTTTTAAGATGCGCAAAAGAAATATACATCGTAATAAAATACCAAGCCAGTGAGATTTTTCAATATCCGTTAGACATGAATATGACTCGCCGAAGTTTTTGCAAGCTCGTTAGATGCGTCTCGACGTGTTGCAATGTTTAGCAAGCTTGTCTCGTTAATCGAGTTCACCCAAGCAAGGTAGTAAAGCCACTAAGATAGAAGGTGGTTACTTAGTGTGGAAGGGTTAGAAAAGAGAAACATTGCTACGAAGCGAGAACAAATAGTAATCAGGAGGACAGTCGATAGCGACTGACGTTGCATTTAGCAGCACCATATTTTCGCCTTTGATACGCTTAGAAAATCACCATTGTAGTGATTTTCCAAGCGTTGCTCAGATGTGGGCACAAGGCCGAAAGTATGGGGCACCCAGTAAGGATCGAACTCACTACTCAGTCGTAATAGTTCTAGCGAGACAAGCTTGCTAACCATTAGACCACATCAATGTGCCCAAACGCCGTTGTATGTATTATTAAATACGACGTACAAGGGAGGCTTTGATAAAGGTATTACGACATTAAACCAAGCTTCTTGTTCCAAGAGGAGAACAAGTTTTGGAGGTACTTATACGTTCACGGGACAGAAGACTTTTTAAGAAATTTATTTATTTGTTAAATTAATACGGACTTTTTTTACAGTAAGGTTCACTGAGTACAAGTAATTTTGCCAAATTTGAACGTGAGCTGCCCAGGCACCACTTTCCAATCTTCAGAAGCGTCCCCGAGTCCTTGTTGGAGAATTATTTTCTCTCTCACTGGCGGGATGTAGCGAGTCTCTCACTGCTCTATCGCAACTACCACGTAAAGCGCTCGGACGAACTGAATCTCCTGCTTCCACCAGGACTGACCTTCACGGCTAGAACCCGCCATGCCACTTACATAATAGCAAAACACCGACAATCCTTCCGTATTCCACTGAAACAGCTTCTTCCAGTGAACATATCGAACAAACCCCCAAGAAGATGTTTCCACTATCACTACGATCTTAACCGGCTCAAGGCTAGGGTTAACAGTTATCTTCCCCTCTTATCCATATAAACTAACCCTTAACATAACCCTCTACCTGGACTGGATCCCAGGCCTTGTACAGGGCAAACCTTATTCAAAATAATATATATATATATATATATATATATATATATATATATATATATATATATATATATATATATATACATGTATGTCGATATATATATATATATATATATATATATATATATATATATATATATATATATATATATATATAGAAAAGTGGACCTGGATGACAACAGAGACGATAGACATTTTCATGCTAAACGCAATGGTGACCTTACGATTGTGTGTACAGGCTGTCACCTCTGAGTACTGACTTCAAGGTCCACTTTTATATTTTATATTTACATACGCTCTATCTCTGATACTGAGCACTTTATCCCATAAATATAGCATATGTATATATATATATATATATATATATATATATATATATATCATATAAAAGTGGACCTTGAAATCAACGCTCAGGAACTGTTTCATGCTAAACACAGTGGTAGCCTGACAATTGCGTTTAGCATGAAACAGTCTGTCACCTCTGAGTGTTGACTTCAAGATCCACTTTTATATTTTATATTTACATACGCTATATTGAGCACGTTATCCCACAAATATAGCATCTATATATATTTGCGTGTGTGTTTGTGTGTGCGTGTGTGTGTGTGGGCAATCACTGACAAAATGGAAATTTATCGCGTAACTTGCTACCTCCTTTATGTGATCATCGGATGAAAGTGATGTTTACGTTTATATAACTATACATTCCTATGGAGAAGGGGGGCGTGGAAATTATAACCTTTTAACTATTTCTTTGGCTATATAGTCTAGACAATTCTATTTATTTACTTTTGTTGCTGTTGTTGTTGTTGTTGTTGTTGTTGTTGTTGTTTATATCTTTATCCCCCAAATATTTAATACCCCAACATTGAAATAATAGATCTGCTAAGTCTGTTGAAATGCTGTGAACATCTGGACGCAAATTTACAGCGGATTATCTACGGAATTAGACCACTTTCTAGACACTTTGCTTTCTTAATTGTTTCATTGATTCGACAGCTTATCGACCCACTGCATCTAATTTAAAACCAGAAAATATTTTCAGAGTGTAAGGATTTTTTTCTTTTTAGATAATAATCGTTTACTGATACAAGTCTTACTAATTAACCCATAGCTGGGAGTAGAAGAGGAGGTGGAT